GGGGGGGGGGGGGGGGGAATTAATTAGATTGAATTAATTAATATGGATTTGATTCAAAAGAAAGCTTCCGATATTCGCGCGCCTGTTGAAGAAGAAAGAGCAGAAGAAGTGGGAACCACGTAGTGTTAACATATTAACGTACTCTGTTTTAAATTTTATTAATAAACACACAGGCTAATCAATTCGATTTGTCATTATCTCACCATCTCATCATTTTTTTTTATTAAATATAATGTCTACTTGTTTTTTTTTTTTAATTTTTTTTATAACTTTTATCATATGATACTATTCAAATGATTGAATGTAATGACGTAGGCGACTTTTAATTTCAATATTATTTGACTGTTGTTGATGTTCATTTGAACTTTGTGAATATCTTGGATATTTGATTTATTTTAAAATTTTGAATATTAGTAATAGCTTTTTGACAATTGTTTATCACTTTGCAAAAAATTCACCTAGTAGGGAAGATGTTGACACAAAAATAAACCTCAAAAAGTATATATTTATAACACATGTTTGTAATTTTATTAAAGAAAATTGTTCTTTTGTTTAGGATTAAATTAAAGGAAAATTGAAACCAAAAAAAAATTGTTTCAATGAAAATTTTCATATCTTATACATAAAAACAACAACTTTTGACCTTATAACTCTAATTACTCATTTATATCATTATTTGATACTAGCAATTCTGCTATGCACGCTGTAGCATCTCAAAATAGAAGAAATTTTAACATATGATAATTATATTTAAAAATATTTACACAGTATTAAAATAATTAGTTGTGGAATTTAAATTACCAAAATACTATCAATATTCCTACAAATATATTATATAGATCCCAACAAAAAACATATACTGAGCATAAGACATAAATTAATCAAATTGTATGTGTAAGCAGTGGCGGATCTAGGATGAAAATCCAGGGTATGTCGGTTGTGGTAAGTGTTGGTCGAAAACCTACACGCAAGTGCACGTATCGTACAAGTAATATAGTGGACAATTAAGTCCGGATATCGAACCCACAGGGAATATTTAATTATCTAATCCTAGACGCTAAATTCTACCAATTATTATCAAGCCCACCCTACACAGTCGAATAAGGATTAATAAACTAAATTAAACTAAATTAAAAACAAGCAAAAACAAGAAAGCAATTTAAAACGAAGATTAATCAAAGTAGACAAGCCTAGGATTTTATTCTTCCCCCTATGTGATTATTACTCCCCCAATTCCTTCAATTATGCAAGCAATTAACCCGGATTATTAACCTGAGATGCTAAAATAATCATAACTCGCTTCCGCGTGTATTACAATTCTAATACTCTAGATTCAATTACTATATTCCTATGCAATTAATTCTAGAACACAGCATTAAGCACAAATCTCAATAATGGCTACCTAAGAGATTAACTATATTCCTATGTTAATACCACAAAGGCTCTTCTACCACAGTTCTAATTATTAACCCGATCTTCCGATTCATGCGATTAACAATAACATAAAAGCGCATAAAGTGGCCAGTTTCATGAACTTAATAAAACAAGTAGAAGAAATAATCCGGAATTAAAACTTGCATAAAATCATAGAATTGGGTTCATAAATCCCACATAGGGTTCCAAATAAAATCCTAGAAATAAGAAATTTAGCTACTCATGATTAAAGGAAAAACACAAATAAAATAAGTCATAAACGATAAATCTATGCTTAGAGTCTTCGAATTCTTCGTCTTCGTTATTGCTTTGTTGCTCTCCAACTTGCGTAAAAAGGATCCTCAATTGTGTGCTTGGATTGGTCTTATATAGGGTGAAGAACTTGGGGAAGAAGGCAGTTTCCTTGTACAATTAAAATCCCTTTACTGCGCAACTTCGGATTCTCGGACGGGTGTCCCACGATTTGCACTAAAACTGGGACGGGGGTCTCAGCTTTAATTCTTCAGAATTTTGATATTTTCACTTTTGACCCATATTTTTGCCAAAATTGCAGTTTTGACCCCATACTTTTCCAATTCTTCACTTTGTACCTAAAATACGATAAATCAACTTTTTAAGCACCAATTATCGTTAAAACACACCAAAAGCTCAAATAAAAAGATACGATAAAGTGTAAAAATATACACTTAACACACCCCCAAACTTGAACTTTTGCTTGTCCTCAAGCAAAATTTACCAATAAGCAAATAACTCAACGATAACATCTCATCACATAGATCAATGATCAACTTCACGTTTTCAGAACTTGTAATTATAATGACAATTCTTAGGCATTCGCAAACTCAAAATTCAACAACACTTAGTCACTCACCATTACCAAAAACCACAATTCATACAATTGCTTCAAGCATCCAATATTTGCAAATTAAAGATAGAAAGAATTTATACTTACATACATATGCTTGACTCCAAATACTCACCAAATTATTCTACTCTACTAATATCGAATATTAAGCTATTGGGATCATTGGGGCTTTGTGGCTTTCAATTGTTAGGCTCTTTGGTTCGAGGTAGGAAATATGGGTATGTGTGGCTATTCTTCTTGAATTTAGGTGATTACGCCAAAATTTGAAAGATAGGCGTTTGAAACAATAAATTCACCTCTACGGACTTTAATAAACTCGATTCTCAAAAGTTCAAAAGTCTCCACTTTTGCTTTTGAGGCAATGGATCGAGTTTTTAA